CAGAGGAAATTTCTCCAAAAAGTAAGATCTTTGTCCCCATGTGCAGCTGCAAACTGTGGTCTGCCTTTTTTATGGTGGTTTTGGAGCAGTGGCTTCATTGGCTTGTTTTGGGAATGATTAGTACTGTCCAGGGAAGGTTTGTATTCCAGCTGCTTACATGAATGTGCCCTTTATCTGTATTTACCTGTATAGTCATAATAGCAGCATTGTTTCCTCATTGGGATTCATCAGAATTAAACTAATGTCTCAAATTTCGAGAACCTGTCCTAAATAAAGCAATCCCATCTAGGACAGGACAACATTGCAAGGACTTTTATATTTTTGTTGTGAACATTGTATAATCTGTCTACAACTAAAACAGTAAAGAAAAAATATTCAATTTGCACCTTTTAAACCATTTGACCGACTTCTTTCCCCTCTGGTACGTCATATTTGGCATCACCCCGTTGGAGATGTTGTAAACACAGTTGTAAACAAAGCATCATGGGAGCTAGTGAGACGGTCAGCATCATTTCTTCTTGTTTACTTATGTTCATCTTCTAAAGTATAGAAAATTGGTGCATGTTAAAGCCTTGAGTGAACAAAGACTGATGGAAGTTATGGCCAAGATGCTGGTGATGACGACGTGCACATCATTGCATACGTTCGTGGGTTTAGCAAAGTTTGGCTTTCCCGCTGTTTTCAAGCTGAGGAAAAGCGGATAACAACCCATGTCGAGTCATTAGTCCCGGGTCATTTGTCCCAGTAGTTTCATTCCCACTGCCGTCAAAAGCCGAGGTGTGACAAGTTTACTTCACCTTCATGAAGGAGGATTTACTGAAGGAATTAGTTTTAAACTGCACTAGTTTTAGCTTGATGATAATGAACTGGCAACTGAGTGTATCTGACAGGATAAAACATCACTGTTATTAGCTTGTAGTATCTTTATTGATTTGACTGTGTTTGTATGCAGCTGTCTGATTTCACAGTTAAATGCAAAATGCTAACATTTGTTTGGCATCGTCACTGATCAGTCACATTACCCAGTCCCCTCATCAGTCTCCAGGTGGAGCCAGTGGTTGAGAAGCACAACATTCCTCAGGCATGCACACACAAACACACACACATACAGAGTGTCTCCATCCACATACTGAGGGGCTGGGTATGGCAAAGATGTGTGAGGGTGTGGGGGATGGGGCTAGCTGTGGAAGATAGTGGAGGAAGGAAGTGAATAGAGTGAAAAATGGGGAGGGAAGGGGGTGGCATGCAAGGCAAGCACATGCTGAGCAGAACATTGGACTCATTGAGAAAAGCGCTCTCTCCATTCATGCCCCATCCAATCCCCTTTTCACTAAACTCCCACTCTTCTCATAATGTACATACAGGATATTGATATCTGCAGTTGACAAAGGTTTCAGGATGACAAAGTCATAAAATGTGTTTTTCTATATAGTTATTTGCGACCTGCCCTAACAAATCAGAGGTGAAAAACACACAGACGGCAGCAGACTGTTCTAACCGCTCTACGTTCTGAGTTTTCAATTGCATAGTAGAGGACCCATCAACTCCAGATGGGCAGTTCATTTACATCAGAAACCCCTGTGTGAAAGTACCAGTCAGTGTGATTAGAACACAGTGTGGAGTACCTCTGCACCACCTTACCTTGTCTCCTCTGTATCCACCACGCCTACACAATAGATAGCAAATATACTGTTCTGTTTTAGATCCATTTTACATGCAGATATTGTCACAAAACCCCTTGATGGGAGCAACCTGGAGGGCTCCCCTATGTCTATATAAATTAAAGAGGCAGCAGTACTCCTATTACTTATTAAATGACCCAGAGCCATGATCATGAATAAATTATGTACTCTAAATTATGTACATAAACACACTAGCACTCAAGGGTAGAAATAACTTTATTTGTACACAAAAAAGTTATGTTGGGGTAATTAAGTGGCAATGTTGTGAAAATAAATGAGCTTACTGAAATAATGTGTACCTCTGCAGCTGAAATTACATCTATTACCGACTACATGTTATGTTATTGTGTGTTCTCCAGAGGCACCAGATATTAAACAACGGTGCACCCATTTCATGCAAAGAGCACAAGAGTTATCTGGGTTTACTTTACTGCCATTTATTGTGTGTAATTTTAATTCTTTTCTGAAACTATTTGAACGCTGTCCTCTCCTCTCCACCTTTTTCAGAATTATATACATAATATATGTCTTGGAAAGCCACATTAAGTCAGTTTATTTGAAGATTCACATAATATACCACAAATCAGAATAAAATATAAATGTAAAAAAATCATTAATTATGTTTAGAAAAGATTTCGTCCTAGAAACAACGCTTACATAACACCTTAAAATTACACAAGAGCTGTCTAAAACTAGGGAAAAAAAGCAATTAATGAATCAAATTAACACAACAAGAGTTTTAGACACTGGTTCACAAAGTGGGGGGGGGTCAGGACCCCACCAAGGTAAGATATAAGGGCATGTGAGACAATTGATCGACAGACATGTGGAAAAATTAGACATTTTCCGCTAAAGATTCATGTTTGCTACATTTTTCTAATTTCTGCTTTTTTATCAGTACATATTTGCTCCATAGCCTCTAAAATATCAAAATAAGCCCCTTTTTTTGAATGATTTTGTTATAACTCAGACATACTGATGATGAGATGCTAGTAGCTGCTGATTCATTTTAAGGGTTTGTTAGGTATTTTTAGTCAGATAGATATTGGATAGATACTTTATGTATTAGAAATGTTTAGTGGAGATAGGATGTCTAGTTAGACTGTTAAATGCTTAGTCATGCTTATGAGTTTCTACAGGGTACATCTGGTCAAGGATAACTAGAGAGAAGAGTTGATGACTGTCAGCAGACAGGATGTTTAATATTATTATTATGACGTGTAGAACTGTAGCCTTAGCCATAATATGTTCTTATGTTTAAGTCACAACATGTACTAGAAGTCTGTGAGAATGTTTTTAGTTACACACCACTTAATCAACAGACACACACACATGCACATTGATTTGCTTCATGTTTTGACTACTACTATGACCAGCTGCAAAGCTAGTAACAGAGACATCTCGGTTGACGTTTCTGTGTAGTATGGGGCTAGTCCAACCGAGGGGATATAATGTATACCTGAGCATGTAATGTTAATTTTACCTGTGATCCTTAGAATAAATCAGCACTGTTTTGAAGTTACTTGGACTGTCTTGTCTCTCAGAGTTAGCAATGGTAACACGAACCATAGTCCTACAGGTTTCTAAGACAAAAACATTGAAAACCACTGATAGATCACCCTAAAATATCAGGTCAGAAGACAGAGCTGCAGCATTAAAAAGTGTAGGTGGTGAAGGCTAATTCTCAGTTCTTTTGACCAGGAACTCAGAGAGACGAAGCGGACCACTTGGATATATAAAAAATAACCGTGCTGGTTTATTCAAATAATCACAGGTAAAATTAACATTACACGTCCAGGTATCTTCCACCTCCAATGCTGCGCGCAGGCAGACGAAGAATGAAATACCCTGAACCACAACAGGCCTATACATTTATCACTTCGGTTGGGCTAGCCCCATACTACACAGGTACGTCAACCGCGATGTCTCTGGTGCCAGCCCTGCAGCTGGTCATAGCAGTAGTTAAAACATGAAGAAAATCAATGTGTGTGTGTGTTGATTTCGTGGTGTGTATCTAAGAACATTCTGACATGACATCTAGTGACATGTCATGACATTACACATAAGAAAATATTATGATTACAATTACGGTTAAACATATCATAATAATAACAATAATCATCCTGCCTGCTGACAATCAAACTTTTCTATCTAGTTATCCTTGACCATATGCACCCTGCTAAAAACCCATGAGAATGACTAAGCATTTAACAGCCTGAGCTAGACATCCTGTCTCCATTAAACATTTCTAATACAACAAGTATCTAACCAATTTCTATCTGACTAAAAAAAATACCTAACAATTGTCAAATAAATTTACAAAAATAGGGCAGCTGTAAGGCAAAAAATCAGAATAAGCTTTCTACATACATAATTTTACATAATTTTAAAATAAATGAAATAAAGTAAAATGCCAGTAAAGCAGTTCTTCTTGACTAAGACACTGTAGAAGTGTTTACAGGACCACACCTATTCATGTTTTACTCATGTTTTATTTGCACACTAGTGTTTACTTTCAAGGTCTGCATTCATCACACATATTCCAATCACACCACTACACACACACACACACACACACAGTGAAACAATTGCATAGGCCTATAGATGATCTGTGGAGGAATTTAACATTTACTCAAGTACATCTTGGAGATACTTGCACTGTACTTGAGTAGTGTTTCATTTCCTTACTTTTGTTCCACTACATTTCAAAATGAAGGGTACTTTTTATTCTACTATGTTTAGCAGAATCAGAATCAGCTTTATTGGCCAGGTGTGCTGACACAGCAGGAA